TTGCTGATTCATAGATCACATTATTATTTATGCCAGATGCTGACCAAGCTATTATGTCTTAAATAACTAATAATTCCATTATTGGTATGGTGTTGATTAAAGTACTCTGTAGTCGATGAAGTTTCAATCAAATAATAACAATGAAACTATATCCAAAAGTCCACACTATTAAAAAAAAATGTAAATACAGGGACTAGCAGTTGGTGTAATGGCTACATCCATGGACTCCCATGTAGTCAACTACAGTTTGAGTCCCAGACCCGGTAGCTTAAACTCATGCTAGGTGCGTGTGTGTGCCCAAGATCCTGAGAGGATAATGGAGGCGAAGGGATTGAAGCATGGCCATCCCCCAGGAGATGATTTCTCACTTTCTGTCTCTGTCTCTCTCTGTCTTTCTGGCAAGTGCACGTGCCCTACAGCAAAAACTTCTCTAAAAAGAAGAAGAAGAAGAAGAAGAAGAAGAAGAAGAAGAAGAAGAAGAAGAAGAAGAAAGTGCAAATACAGTTAGAAATAGTTTGATTTAAAATGTTGATGTTCAATATTTTTGTGAAATATTTACTAAAGTAATAATGTTTCAGTTGAGTCTATAATGTTAACATTTATTCGTTCAAAAAATTAGCTCTAATTTCCAAGAGGGAAAAAGATTACAGGAGCTGTGTCATTGCTAGAAGACGGAAATAAAAAAAGAGAGATCTTGACATTAAAAAACTGTATGGACTTGAGCAAGCTACAGAATCATTTACCATCTGTACTTTTAAAACATTTTAAAACATTCTGTAGGATGAGAAAGTTTGACCATATGTTCTCAAGACTTCTGGGTCTAAATACAGTTATTATGATGATATATGCTGTGAATCTAGGTGAGTTCATTTTCTATGATCCTTGAAATGTGTCATGAGGTAAACCAAGGTAACTAGAAGTGTCTGTGAGGCTGAGAAGGAAGGCAAGAAAACTCCAGGGAGGACAGAATTAAGATGGGGACCAGTGCAATCTATAAATAAGAATGCCTGAAGCTTCTCTTACTAAAAATTAGGAGACAGATGACCAAGCTAGAAAATAAACTGATAATTCTAAAATGGGAGAAAAATCTAGAAAGAAAGGGCATGATCCACATTACAATTTTATAAGGAATATTGTATTACTTCACCTAATACTACAATATTCTATTTGCATATCTTGTATGAGAGGATGATCATAACTTTGCATCATGACAGGAAATGAGAAATAGGCGACAACCCAATGGGTGAATTCAGGTACATAGGTTATTTTGCCAAAATAGAAACATTGATAAATAATAATGAGGGCCATGGCATAATAGAATCATCAACCACTGCCTGACAGATTGTGTTCCCCTTGTTACTTCTTCTCTAGCAATTTCTACTGTTTGTCATTGAATCCATCTTAGGAACAAATGCACAATTCCCATGTTTCTGGAGAGTGACTAATATTTACATTTCACCATGATGCCTCAGACAGAATAGAATGTTCCTGGTAACAAATTTGCAGTTATCACATTGTCAACTTGGACTTTATGACTCAGCAGATTCTTAGACCACAGATCTAGAGGAAGTGAAGTCATATCAGTGAGTTCTTTTGGGTAATCATCTAAGGAGGATGACAGTTCCCAAACAAAGCAACTTATTTAGGAAGGGGAAGAAGCTTTCACACACTGGATGGCATAACTTGGAAGAATTCCCTTCTTAATTAAAAGTGAAAGAACTGCTGCAGTTTATCACCCACCACGTGGTGCCAGGAAGGAGTAACAGACTCTGGCTGTGGAAAACAACCTCTGACAGCAGGTCATGCATTGATGGAAAACACTCAGGGAGGTAGAGCCTCTCTAAAGAAAAAGCAATTGTTGTTTTGCTACTAACTCATTTTGCAAGCATGGCTTTAAGAGATTGTCCAGGAAAGGACTCTTACAGTAGGAAATGAGAGCCCTGGCTACTCTCCCAACCAGACACTAACAAAGCTTACATCTTGGGTCAGTTATTGCTGCTGGCCTTCTCCATGACCCTGAAGATGGCTCTAAATGGTTCTAAACTTTCAAGAGCATGTCAGTATATTAGGACAATGTGTCCCCTATCCTGGCCTTGATTATGACAGCAGTAATAACAGAAATCACTAACAGAATGCCAACCTGTGCCAGGAACTTAGGACATATTATTTCTGTTTTTAAACACTTACTAAGGTTCATCCTTCATTTCTTGTGCAGAGGGGAGGGAAAGCCCATGCTGTATCCTTCTCTACCTCTCCTCACTTACAGTGAGCCTGCGAAAAGGACAATCTCATCTGCACTCTCTCTCAGATCTACCTGTCTATCAAGAAGTCATGTCCTGGTCTGCTTCTCATCTGATAAATGAAGTAGGGCAGTCTCTATCCAAGCAGTTGAGGGTTGAGGACACCTATGGTTGTTCACGAAGGCACAGAGGTTATGTATTTCATATTCAGAAGTGAAATCTAGTCTTAGGAATCCTATCTGGGGGCAGGGCAACAAAAATGCCCTGGTCTAACTGTATTAGTTAATAAAGGAAATGTTTTGATTTCAGCCTTTCTTACAGTTTTCTCTTTTCACTTGGTTCTGAACTCATAGGAAAGTGAAAGCAATGCAATTGCTTTCTACTTGGATCTATAAAACTCACAGGGATGCTGAGCGATTAGAGAAATATGCGGCAGCTCGGGGTCTCTTTTCAAGTGAGAACCTGCTGCTAGGAGAGGCATCCAGCAGCCACACTTCCAGAATCTGTGGGAGCATTGTATTTATACTAAGGCCACTTTCCCCCAAATTTCTTGGAGAAAAGGAGCATGGGGAAGTGGGACACTAAAGCCCAGCCATTTTTGTCTGCTATAGCACTCTTCCTCTATAGATCTCTTCAGATTTTATCAGATTATACTGCAGGGGAGGCCACCTTCTAGCTAATCCACTTTCCTTCTCTCTTTTTACCTTCTCTGTACACTCCCCAGTTCCTCTTCCCTTCATTCTTCACAGCCCTACCCCCTACAAATTTCCTGTCTTCCTACTTCTCTCCCCACCTGATACCGTCATTTCACAACAGAAGAAGCAGGGCTTCAGGCAAGAAAGTAGAAGAGCTATTAGGTCATTGGGAATGTCATGACGTATTTTTCTATACAAAAATGTATCATGACTTTCCTGATGACCCAATAAATATGCTCCTTTTGAGAAATCTATGCACATGCTTAGGTTTGGAAAAAAAAAAATTAGCTTCTCTCCATTTTAAAAGAAATGTTTCATGATTTATATACTAATGTCAAGAGACCATTATTGCTTCATAGAACTGAGCCCAGTTAGATCTGCCCATTCAATGAAAAGATGCATTGGCCTCTAGAAAATAGAAGAGAATGCCAGAGAAAGGAGACATTTCAGCATCTCTTTCTGAGGTTTGATTCTGGTAAGACTCAGAATGTATTCATGATGAAAACAAATTATCCTAATAATTTGTTATCAGCACTGCTGATCAGCTTGTATGAGAGTCCTTCAAAACCATAGCAGGAAAATGGAATTAAAGGACGAGTTTATCTTGGCACAAGAATAGTTTTAAATCGATGCATATTTTTTTCCATAACATGCATCCATGTAAATAGATCTTGACCTTCACCTTTACAAGCTTTCTGAACTCATAAACACTACCTATGACTTTTCTCTTTGCAAAAATCAAAAACACATCACAGTGAGAAAATGATTTTTCCCTCTTTAATACTGCTAGAGAACACATGTGCTCGCCAAAAGAAGAAAGGGAGTGCAGCCTCTGATGGGCATGGCCATACCGCAGTTCTATTTCCTCAATATGTCTCCATCCCATCAGGATTTGGGGCATGCACAAACCCACACCCAGAGTGTTTTTCAAGTCTCTGGAGCTGAGATTCAAATCACAGTAGGTCATCTGGGATTTGACGCCCATCCATAGCACTCAAATGCTATGTTAAAGGACCAACTCCAAATTAGATTTTTCTTTCCTTTTCAAGAGAGATTTTTGCTATAGGGTGCATGTGCTTGCTGGAGAGACAGAGAGAAAAACACAGAAAGGGGATGACCATGCCACAACCCCTTCTCCTCTTATCTCCTCTTAGGATTTTGGGCATGCACACATACAGGCCCGGTGTGAGTCCATAACATGCATCCATGTAAATAGATCTTGACCTTCACCTTTACAAGCTTTCTGAACTCATAAACACTACCTATGACTTTTCTCTTTGCAAAAATCAAAAACACATCACAGTGAGAAAATGATTTTTCCCTCTTTAATACTGCTAGAGAACACATGTGCTCGCCAAAAGAAGAAAGGGAGTGCAGCCTCTGATGGGCATGGCCATACCGCAGTTCTATTTCCTCAATATGTCTCCATCCCATCAGGATTTGGGGCATGCACAAACCCACACCCAGAGTGTTTTTCAAGTCTCTGGAGCTGAGATTCAAATCACAGTAGGTCATCTGGGATTTGACGCCCATCCATAGCACTCAAATGCTATGTTAAAGGACCAACTCCAAATTAGATTTTTCTTTCCTTTTCAAGAGAGATTTTTGCTATAGGGTGCATGTGCTTGCTGGAGAGACAGAGAGAAAAACACAGAAAGGGGATGACCATGCCACAACCCCTTCTCCTCTTATCTCCTCTTAGGATTTTGGGCATGCACACATACAGGCCCGGTGTGAGTTTTAAGCTGCTGAGTCTAGGACTCCAACTGTGGTAGACTTTGTGGAAGTCCAGCAATGTAACCATTACATCATCTGCTGGTCCCCCAAACTGGATTTTTTTAAACTATGGTTTTTTATCCTAACAAACTAAACCTGAATCTGATTATTTTTTTTAATTTTCACATGCAGGAGATAGTAAACACATTAGAAAAGAATAAAACAATTTCTCTGAGATTTTTGAACCCTGAGGAATGTCTGAACAGGACAGTATACACATAACTTAAAAATTAAATACACATTTCTTTGCACCACATAATTTTCTAAAGAGAGGAGGAATTGGACTTACCCTCACTGGAGTCTTTTGAACATTCTGGCTTCTTTGCTTTGCTCTTCTTATGGAGTGGAGAAAGGCCTTTTGGCTCTAACCCCTCTGGAAGTACAAGATTTAATATATTCTTATTTAAATATTTACCAGTTGGGTTCAAAATTATGTTGAAGTTTAAAGATGTTTTCTTCTTAGTAAACCCACACACACGGAATGTTAACTGTAGAGTCATCTGTCATCAGAGCTGAGCTGAATTTTGGCAAGGACTTGTGATTCTCTAGCCTACATAGATTTAAACTTAAGGCTTAGCTGAGATGTTTTTATAGACATCATTAATGATTCACATAAATGTTAAATCTTACAAAAGTGAATTTTTTTTTTAAATTTAAAAAATTCTCCATAAGGGGACCTCCCCTTCCAATTTTTTCTCTGCAGAGAAGTTTGATTTACAACTTGAACATTGACCAATTGACAGTTGTCATTGTACACTTTTATTTCACTCAGTTCTCAGAGGAGGACTAATAATGAAATGTAAAGTTGATGCATTTGGGGAGGAGGCTTAAAATTATCTTGTTTCTATTTAACAGACTTCTTCAGTAATCCAGAGTCTAAACAACTTCCATATGCCCTTGATTAAATGATTATGCTTTCTGTTTTCCTCAGTGCCCCTCCCAGTCTATTTAAGGGGGCCAACACGTTAAATTCTGAAGACAGTTTTAGGAAAAGATTCCTAAATTCATTCCATTTGGGTAGAGGATAATTTGTTAGGCATTAATTTCCATATCCAGTCCTGGTATCTTTACAGAGCTCAATGCTTATGTCTTCAACTCTCTGCATGGTATCTTGTTTTGGATTTGGGGCTGGCTGCCTTCCATTTCCCCCTCCATCCACCTCCTACCCTCACTGTGCTGGATCATGACAATGAACTTCTTGGTCCTCTGTTTTCCTATTATCTAATACTAGCCATGGAGACCCCAAAGTATTTACTGGCTAGATTGCAGGGAGTCTTCATGGGCTGATTATATCCCTTTTTGGTTGGCTTTCTCTACTCGGCCCTCTCTTTCTGTTGGTCCTAGAGCCACCCCTTTCCCACTGACTTTTCAGGCTGAGATTTAACTATGTAGTTAACTATTATTATTATTATTTTTGAGAGATATTTTTGTTATAGGGTGTACCAGAGAGATAGAGGAAGCAAGAAAGGACCGCCTGGGGGATGGCCATGCCATAACACCTTCTCCTTTATTCTCCTTTTTGGGATTTTGGGCATGCATGTACACAGACTGAAGTGAGTTTCAAGCTACCAGGTCTGGAACTTGAACCAGGGTCAACCATGTGAGAGAGTACAACAATATTACTTTTGGCTATGGCTCTGCTGGTCCCATAGTTAACTATTCATTTCTGCCCTAATGGTTTCCTTCATGAAACCTTCATCAATAAATGAGCCTGTTAGGCATTTCAAACTTAGCACCAGTCAGAACAACACATTTGATGACTACCAACCTGTTTTTTCCACAGTGTTTTCTATCTGAAAGAATGGTATTACTCTCTACCCAGAAATTGAAACCAAAACTGAAATGTCATCCTCAATCTTTCTTTTCATTTATTTTTCCAGTTCAAGCAATCATAAGACCTATCGGAAGTCCCATCACCTCTGCTCTAAACACATCCGGCATTTATCCCTGTGCTTGTCATCTGTAATCACCTTACTAGCCCACACAGCAGTACCTTTTGCCTAAGTTACGTCAACACCCTTCTAAACTCTAACGGCTTTTCATCTAGTCTTCTCATCTAATCTCCCTGCTTTTCTTTATTCCCTACAATCTATTTCCATAGCATCCAGTGACATCTTTTAAAACAGAAACCGGACCATGTTATTTGCTGTTGTTTGTTTAATAACCATTACTTAGAATGAGATTCAAATTCAATTCCACATCATTCAGGCTGAACCTATTGCTAGCTCATCTTCCACTTGTTCTTCGGCCATACAGTTATGAGCTCCTTTTGTGCTCTCTAGTCATTGCTAGGCTGGCTCCTAACCTGGGACTTTGCACTTTCCATGTCTCCCCCATCCCTCCAATACACACATTATCTGCCTCCTTCTCTACCTTTGAATATCAGATCAGATTTAACTCCCATGAAAGGCCTTCCTTGACCACCTAAAGGTCCTCTCGAAAAGAAAAGCTCTCTCAAACACACCATTTGTATCTTAAATGATCTTTCTGTCTTGTTTGTTTCTTTACTCTGTCTCCTAATCCATCCCTCCCCCCTCCCCCAAAGAATGTAACTCCATGAGAAAGGGACACTTTTTTCTTTCCTTTTTAGTTTTTTTGCCATAGGGCTCATGCACTCACTCAAGAGACACAAAGACAGAGAGGGAGGGAATCACTTTCCCCACCCCCACTCCAGGATGGATGGCCACACTGCAGTCCCTTCTCCTCTATTGTCCTCTTGGGATTTTAGGCAGGTGCACACATGTGCTCAGTGTGATTTTCAAGCTGCTGGGTCTGGGTCTCAAATTGCATTCAGCCACCTGGGACTCCAGTGCCTTAACTGCCACATCACTTGCTGGCTCTGGGCACTTGTTTTTTTATAAACCCTCTTTTATCCCTGGTGCCTAGTAGTGTCTTAAGGATTTTATTTAAAATTTTATTTTTGCTTCATCCAGGCCTTTGTTTAAGGCCAGATATAACAGAGCCCATGCCTGATTCTCACTCTTTCAGCAGCTATGGCCTCATGCCAGGATTCTAAAATTATACTGCAGAGCTATGGCAACTCATTTCTCTTTTCCCATTTATTAAAAAAGGAACATAACAAAGGGAAAAAAAAACTCTCATTTGATAGATGTGCTATTAAAAACTTTGGCATTATAGACTACAAAAGGTTTGGGGCACAAGGCTAGGTTTTCTGTGGTTGCAAGTTAGTCACATCTAAGGTCATTACCATGGCCAGGTGAAAAATTCTGCCAATGACTACATTAGCAGCTCCCCCAAACTTCTGTCACCAGGTGTGAGATGGATGTTGACCCTTGGAGTGGGTTCAACAAAAACAGAAATGAGATGCTTGGAACGGCTCACTGAACACAAATGCTGGACTCAAAGGGATTCATAAAATGGGTAAAGCAACATTTGCAATCTCATTGGGAGAAGACGCTCACCCTTCCATGCTCCTGAAATATGTTGTCTGCAACTGGCATCAAGAGAAGTTCCCAAAGCTGGAAATTCAACACCAAATCAGCACTTTTTCTTTTTCTTTTTTTAAGTTTTGTTATAGGGCACATGCACTTGCTGGAGAGGGAGGAGGAAAGTGAGAAATCAACCTCAAGGAGGATGGCCACTCTGCAATCCATCCCCTCTCTTCCGTTCTCCTTTTGGTATTTTGGGCACACATTCACATGTGTGTTTTTTAAGCCACTAGGTCCAGGGTTTGAACCACACAGTCAGACATGTAGGATCCAACCACCTTAACCTCCATGCCATCTACTAACCCAAACCAACATTTCTTTCTTTCTCTCTCCTTCTTTCTTTCTTAAGAGATTTTTGCCTGTGTGTTCACCATAGAGAGAAACAGAGACAGAGAGACAGTGAGAGGGAAAGTGAGAAATCACTCTCCAGGGGAGATGGGCTTACCACAATCTTTTCTCCTCCATTCTCCTCCCAGGATCTTGGGCACAGTACACATGCCTGGAGTGAGTTTCAAGCGAGTTGGTTTGGGACTCAAACTGCAGTTAGCCATGTAGGAGTCCAGCAACATAACTGCTACACCATCTACTTGCCCCAAACCAGCATTTCTTAAAAGTGAATTTTTGTGAATTATATTCTTAATTCTGGATTTTCTATTTGGGCATTCTTGAGAGCATGACTGAGACTTAGAATGACAAGTGTTTACTCATATTTAAAGATATTTAACTATACCAAAGTTTGGTACTTTTTGGTTAGTCAGTGCACATGGATATTAGATTGTTGGAAAAAGTCACGACACATTTTTTTTACATAGAAAAAAAGCATGAGTTTTCCATCTTAATATATTAATCATGAACAGTTACCTACGATGTAAGTATTCTACCACTTTATGACACCATGGGTAAAGTGCTTCAAAGCATTCCAATGAAAGTCACTGATACATATGGCCTCTATACTCAGGTTTCTACTTATGGCTCAAAGGAATAACTCACCCACTTGTTCCTGTTTCTCCTTAACAGTACATCATGTTTTCTAGGTTGCCTCTATTTCTGGAGATAGAAACTTGGAGTGCTGTAATGAGCATGGCTTTGACCTCTGAGGAATGCAGCTCTGCACCTAGTTCTAATGTGGCTGAGTTGCCACAGGTGGTTGCTGATTTTTTGTCCCTGCTGGCTCAGACTGGGGTCAGCTTCAGCAGGGCATGGTCATAGAAATGAAAGGACATGGGAGAACATTTACCATATCAGAATAAAAGAGATGATTAAGGGACTTACAAGGAATCTCAGGCACCTCGCAAGTGGGCAGAGCCTCACCTGGAAGGTAATCTTGACTGATACCACCTGAGACGTAACTGCCTCTACTTACTACAAGAATCTGAAGATAGGAGTAAAAAAGCTAAGAATGTGAACTTTGGGTTCAAGCAGATCTGTACTCAGGTTCTGGTTCTGCTACTTAAGGAAGGCATTAATCTGCTAAACAATGACAGTCCCTGCTTCATAGAAATGTTGTGTGTGTTAAATGAGTTTATGCATGTCGAAAATTGACATAAAGCATACACCCACTTAGTATGGCTCTGCAGAAGTATGCTGGGGCTGACTTGAGGCAGCTCTCACCAGCTAATTGCACCATCTCTCCCCACGTCCCACATTCATTGACCCTCTGCTTAGTAGCTTTCAAGGACTATACTGTGTTTGCACCCCAGAAATCTGCCAAGTCTTTATACTAAGGCTCCCTCAACCCAAAGAGTCAATTTACTAGCAGCCTACTGGGTTTGGATATACAATTTGCTCTTCATTATTATTTGCTAGTATTTTTTGGCAGGTGGATTCACTCAAGCAGTCTTTCACTAGTATCCACTGCATTCTTAGAAAAATCCCTCCAGCTTTTCTATTTGCATGAGAAGAAGAGGTGATGCAGTCTAGAGAGAAGGCAACAGCTAATGATCCCGAGAGGCTGGTTCAGTGACTGATGGTGGAGACCAACATGCTTGACTGTGATATCGGAAGGCAGCCAGCCTACACATAACATTTGGCAAGGCCAGCTGGTATGCCATAGAACCATCCAGTACAAAAATCCCTTCTGATTTCAGCACTCAACTGTTAAGAAGAGTAGCTCCCCAAGCCCCTTCTGCCTGAGTGACTTAGCATCCAGGGGCTATTGAGTATGACTTGAGCAGCTGTACAGCTGCTGGAGACAAAACTCCCAGGAAACATGGTGGGACTAAAATCAGAAACGATAATCCAATTCATGCTCCCAAACCTCACATGCTGACTCCAACTTTGTGGACTCTGCATTACCATTAATAATAATTTTTTAAGAAAATCACTGAGTGGTTTGGTTAGCTAGCTACATCTCATTAAGAAGTCAACTCCCTTTGCCTAAAAATGTATACTTATGCACTTAAGCAAATGATCCATGGCAAGATAAAGAAAGTCCTTACACTGTCTGGCTGAAAGAGCAATATGCCCTCCAGCTGAAGAATATCCGAAGGACACTTCAGGTGAGCAGGATCAATCAGAACAGCAAACATTCAACATTAAACTCATGGAAGTCAATCTAAGACAGGGTGACCATTTGAAGCCTTTTTTAACATACAGCTTTTAAACATTAAGACATTCTGCATGGGTAAAGGAATTGAAATTTTACTTTGGGCAAGTAGAATCCTTATGCCAGGTTTTCTCAGAAGCAGATACTGAGACAAGGGTTTGAGTGTAACTAGATAAATTGAGAGATTATCCCAGGAAGGACCAGAAGGGAAGTAGGAAAGTGAGACAGGAAAAGCAAGGTAGCCATTATGGGATGTGTTAATGAGCAAGTTCTATTGTGGGCAAAAAGAGCTTAATTCTACTGAGGCTTTCTGAGTGATTTTACAGAATTGTGCTGTCCAATACGGTAGCCACTACCCACATATTGCAAAAGTATATTTGACATGTGACTAGTCTGAATTATGAATGTAAAATATGCACCATTTTAAAAGACAGTGTAAGGAAAAATGTAAAAATAATCAACTCATATAATTTTTATGTTGAAATGACAATAATTTGAATTAGGCAAAATATTATTAAAATTAGTTTACCTTGTTTCTTTTTCAATGTGGCTATTAAAAAATCTAAAATGACACATGAGGCTCACATTAGATTCCTACTGTACATCACTGGAACAAAACACCCCTCAGATGTGTCCTACAGTAGAATTGATCAACCAAAACTCCTCTATCATTGGCTGGGGAGTGGTGCAGAAAAATTAACTCCCTGATACTTTGAGTTTGCTTTCATAACCAGAAAAGAACACTTATCCAACAGTGATGACAAACTTTCCCTATAAAACTGTTGTAGGGGACCAGCAGTTGGTATAATGGCTATGTCGCTGGACTCCCATGTAGTCAACTGCAGTTCGAGTTCAGGACTTGGTGGCTTAAACTTACACTGGGCACATGTGTGTGTGTGCCCAAGATCTTGAGAGGAGAATGGAGGAGAAGGGATTGTGGGGTGGCCATCTCCCCTGGGGGTGATTTCTTGCTTTCTGTCTCTGTCTTTCTGGTGAGCACACATGCCCTATACCAAAAACCTACCAAAAAAAACAAAAACAAACAAACAAACAAACAAAACTGTTGGCATTGTAAAACAGTGAATGTCAAGGGTATGGACACAGCTATTGCTACAGTCCCTCTACCTTCTTCATTTCTGCTCCTGACTTAGATCATTCCTCTACTTCTCACGCCCTCTGAACCCATTGCTTTTGGAGAGACTAGAAAAACCTTATAAACCAAATGTGCTCAGAGCAGAGAAGAGGAGACAAGAGCTATGATCATTATTTACAGAAAGTTCATAAAGCAAAAGAAACTGGTGTTATTTCTTTTCATGGAGACAGGAAGTGGTCAGGGGAGGGAGAGAGATTTCATAAGGAGAAGGACCATTTTTAGCAAACTATACCTAAGGAGATGAGTTATGTAAGAATGGAAAGAGTTCCCCGATAAGGGATTGAGATAGTTAGCTGTTTGTAGGGGGTTCTGGTATTGGATGTATTAGATGGGAGGTGACACAAGATAACCTCTGAGACATATTTTTGTTTGTTTTTAGGTTTTTGCCATAGGGCACATGTACTCACTGGGAAGAGAGAGAGAGAGAGAAAAAGTGAGAAATCATCTCCCAGGTAGGATGACCATGCCACCATCCTATCTCCTCTCTGGATTTTGGACATGGATGCACATGCATCCAGAGTGATTTTCAAGCTGCTGGATCTGTGACTCAAATCATGGTTAACCATGTGGGAATCCAGCATCCCAACCACCAAACCACCTGCTGGCCCCGAGATATCTATTTTAATTATAAAACTTGACCTCTTTTCATAGTAGAGCAGTGTAGCTTTCAAAATGGAGAAGACAAAGTTATTAACCATAGAATTAAGTTCTACATCCTTTTGATATCTTTGGTATTTTTTGAATGAGTTAGAGAAAATTAGTAACTAACTGAATGATTATTATGTTCCAGCTATGTTCTAAGCAATGTGAGGAACATTTTAAGTATGTTATATCATTTAATCCCTCAAATCAAACTATATGGTAAGAATTATTGCCCCCCAGAAGTATAAACTAAGGCTTAAAGAAAAAGAATGCTTAGCCAAGGTCAATAGGTGTCAGAGTTAGAATTGAATTCAGGTCTATTATTCATGGATTCTTTGTCAAGAACATGGATTCTTTGTCAAGAACATATTAAGTACTGTCTTAGTCCAGAAACCATGTTCTTACCACTACATTCTCTCATAAACACTAGCCTTTTTTAAATTGGCATCCATTTTATTAGGTTGTCAGAAAAGTCATGACATATAGAAAAAATTTTATATAGAAGAAATATGTCATGACTTTTCTGGCAACCCAATAATTTCTAATCTTGAGAGTAACATGTAATATGTGGAAAGTATATTTACCAAAGGAGTCGATGGCAATATTTTAGGTCAGACATGCTCTGCTGAATTATTCCCCATCAACAGATTGAGTCTATTTTCATTTTCCTTGAACCTAAGTGAGCTTGGGCTATTCTAAAGAATAGAGTTTGATGGAAATGGTGATCCTGGTCCTTAAAAAGGATAGAGTTTCTTCCTGGCCCACAAACTTTTTCAAGAAAAGTTCACTTTGGAACCTGGCTGCTCTGCTGTGAAGAAGCCCAAACTACATAAAGACGACATATGCCAGGGTTTCAGAAAACTGCCACAGCTGAGGTTTCCACTGATGACTGGTCTCAATCAAGGGCTAGATATGTGAGCGATCTTGAGCCCAGTCCCTTGTTGTTGAGACTTCTTGCTGAGCCCCAGACCTTGTGGGATAGGATGATCAAGTTGTCTCTGCTTTGCTGTGAGTGACTTACTCACCCACAGAAAATAAGTGGTTGCTTGAAGTTACAGTGTGAGGAGTGATTTGTTACACAATTCTATGAACTTAGCATCATGTTTTGTTTTTACTTTAGCTGTCAGGAAGCACAAAGTCAAATTTAACATTCACATACAGTACTATTAGTCTTAAGAGTTAGCACAAATATTTTCTTATGTTATGACATGAAGCATACATTTCTATGTTATTACCCTTATTTTTTCTTTTTTTGAAAACTGTATGAAGTGTACATAAACAATAAAATGCTCTCAGCTTGCTCCCATATAATAAAATCATGAATTTAGTACCTGCATCTTCTTTCATGTCAACATCTTCTTCTTCGTTACTATCATCTATTTAAAAAATAAGAAAAGATAAAGGCTTATATAAAAGCTGTAAACATTAGAATTCTCCAATTGACTAATGAAAAAAAAAGAACTTAAAAATCTTAATGGGAAAGGAACTGTTAAAGTATGTATTTCTGTTGCTTTGTATTAACCCATTGAATTAAAAAAAAAAAGGTACATATTGGGGAATAATTTAACACCTAGGGCTTACATTTCCTTTAAAAAAATCCACTATTGTTATTTATAACAAACTATTTGTGAAATGCTTTGTTTTATTTATACAAGTTATGAAAGTTATGTATAGTCATTTTGATAATTTCAGTATCTCAAATCTAAAAAATTATGGACTAAATACCATATTTTCTATGTTTGCTAAAGGTATGCATTCTTACTTGAAATAACTGAGAAATGTATACAGGATGATTTAGGGTAACACAAATCAAATCCCTGCATTGCCCCATGAAAAGTTCTACTTTGCTAGACATATGAATCCAAACTTTTCTTTCATATTTTTCCCCAAAGGGCTCGTCAGTGAGATAGAGATGGAAGAGACAGAAATAGAGAAATCACCCTCCCCCAGGGGGTATGGCCATGCCACTATCTCTTCTCTTCCATTCTTCTCTTGAGATCTTGGGCATGCACTCACACACACCTGGTGTGAGTTTTAAGTTGCTGGGTCCGGGACTTAAACCACGGTCAACTACATGGGAGCCCAGTGACGTAACCATTATGCCATCTGTTGGTCCAGAGCTCAGCATCTTAATCAAAACTTTTAACCATGTGTTTTCAAGGGCCCCTACCATTGCACTATTCCTGTATAACTCCTATTTCCCAGAACAATCTTCTCAATTCAGCCAGGATGTGTGATTTCTCTGCACTGACACCCTTGACGTTTTGAAGTTTTGACACACTGCCATCCTCCTCCTTGAATGCTTTCATAGCCAGCATTAGGGTAAATCCTAACCTCAGGGTAATGATAGTAGGGAATGAGACATTTGTGGGTGCTTAGATAAGCAGGGTGGAGCCCTTATGGATGGAATTAGTGCTATTACAAAAGAGTTTCAAGAGACTCTTTGCTTCCTTCTACTGTGTGAGACAGAGAGAAGACAGCTATTTAAAAGAAACAGAGCCCTTGTCAGACACCGAATTTGCTAGCTTCTTGAGAAATAAATGTCTCTTGTTTATAAGCCTCCAAGTCTGTGGTATTTTGTTACAGAAGCTCAAATGGACTAAAATATTAGTCAGGGCCAAATCCTGTCCTGTTTCCACACTTGCCCTGTCTAGTCACACCGCAATCCAAATTCAGAGTCAGCATCACGTGCCTTAGTTATTTTGGTAGTCTCCCACCTGCTCCCCTCTTTTATCCTTTTTCTGACTCCCATTTCTTTTAGATGTGCCTCTCAAATTAACCTTAAAATACACTTCTGATCTGATTCACGTGGATTCAGTGACTGCCCCCTGCCTAATGAGAAAGGCCTAGATTTTTCCTGGTAATAGTCACAGTTAATCAATTCTGGTCCCAACCATTCTTCTCAGTTTTACCTCGTCTATTACTTTCCTGTGAGCACCTACACAGAGGCCACACTTGACTCTCTGTTCTCTCAAGGTCCCCTTCAGTTTCCTCTACCTGCCTTGGTGCTTCTGGCAATGCCCTTCTCCATGTCTATTCACCTTCAAGGCCAAGCTTAAGGCACGATAGCATCTGCTTGACCCAAGTTTGAATGACTGGAGTTTTCTTTGGTGCATCTTATTTTTACTGCCTTCGAGTATGAATTTAAAGACATTTGAGCATAGGCCTGTCTACTTGTCCGCTACCCACTCATTTACCACAAGTACGATCTTGGAGGAGTTAACTAATCTCCTCAAGTTTCAGGCTTAACAACAGTAAAGCAGGAAATGATAATAATGCCTACTACATAGAGTCGTTTTATGGATTAAATGAGATAATGCCATAGAAGGTTTGCGGACATTTGGAAAACATTGTTAAGTGCAAAATATTAGCTATTTTTACATAAAATCCCTCAGTTTAGTTACTTGTTAAATACCTGCCTTCTATCTGCCATCTCTAGACCATAAATTCTACGAGGATAGAGACCACATCTCCTGTTCTTTTATATGCCCTGGAACCTTATACCATTCATTTTATATACTGGATTCAAAGAAATTTCCATTGAATCACATTTTTATTATTTCTTGTCCAGAAATTATGTGTTAAGACACATTGTATCTGTATGTTGCTTTATAAATAGTGAAAATTCAGTAAAGACTTGCAACTTCCTCCTAGACATATGCTTTATAACTTAATCATCTCATAGCCAGATTTATTCAATATGAAACTCTTCTAAGTGTTAATCATTGATGAATATTAGAGATATATGAGTCAATGGAAATGGAAAATACCTTAAATTTGAAGTTTTAGAAAAATAATCTCTTTTTTGGCTTGTTTTTATCTATTATTTATTTATTTATTTATTTATTTATTTATTTATTTATTTATTTTTGCTATAAGGCACATGAGCTTAGCAGAGAGACAGAAAGTGAAAAATCACCCTCCAGGGGGGCTGAACATGCCACAGTCCCTTCTCCTTCATTATCCTCTTGGGATTTTGGGAACGCATGCACATGCACCTGGCATGAATTTAAAGTTGCTGGGTCCCTGACTTGAACCATGGTTGACTATAGGGGAGTCCAGCAACATAACCATTACACCTTCTGCTGGTCCTGAAAAGTAAATCTTGACGGCTATAGTTAATTTTTAAGTAAACTTCTTTAAACTTGTCTACCATCCAAATATGTTAAGAAACCTTGATGAATTTCTATTAATTGATTTCCTTCATTCTTTCTATGAATGCATTTTGAAAAGGAGAATACCTATTTCCTAAGAAAATAAAATTTTCTAACATATGATTATCAAAACATTGCAAAGGAAACTCTTCATAGATCTTTTCTGAACTTAATATATTTAAACACAATTTTATTTTCCAGAACCATCAAAAATCTCTATGGCAACAGAATTTCAGAGTGGGATTAAAAAATAATTTCCAGAATTTGAGAGTGGGAAAGTAAAAGAAAAGTCAAAGTCCCTTTGCTATCACCCATGTGTCCATTTGTCTGTCTAGCAAGCACTTGTTGATAGGTCTTTGTGTTTGGGGCATAGAAAACAGCAAGAAGAATCAGACACTGAAGGAGTTGTCTAGAACCTTTTCAGTAGTAAGGAAATTAAGACATGCAAACCCTTTGGCAGAGTGCAGTCATTGCCATTACAAAGGCGTCAGAGGGGGAACCAGCAGTTAGCGTGATGGCTATGTCACTGGACTCCCACGTAGTCGACTGCGGTTCGCGTCCCAGACCCGATAGCTTAAAACTCACGCCAGGCGCATGTGCGTGCGTGCCCAAGATCCCAAGAGGAGAATGGAGGAGAAGGGATTGCGGCATGACCATCCCTCCTGGGGGGTGATTTCTCACTTTCTGTCTCTATGTCTCTGTCTGGCGAGCGCATGCACCCTATAGTGAAAAATCTCTCCAAAAAAAAAAAAAAAGGCATCAGAGGAAGGATCGGTACTTCTAGCTGACCTACTTGGACGGCTACTCAGAAAACAACATTGGGACAGAGACTTGGACTTCATAGATTGCCTTGGTAACATCATGCAGAATGACTCCCATAGGCTAAAGGATTGGACTTATTTTCCTTCATTCATTCCACTCATTTACTGATTTATTCATACAATGGTTAAGAATCGGCCCAGGATCTCACCTCAGACTTCTTGGGTTTACTTCCAGAACAAAGCACATAAAAGCATGCAGTTTGGGATATAAAAAAAACTATACCCCCATTTCTTCATTTGCAAAATAGGGATAATAAATTACCACCCTCCGAGGGTTAGTAGTACATGTACAATGTTTACGCAGAGTGAGCATTCAATGAAAGTGATTATGATGTCATTATCATTACTACTCTTGTTATATGAACAGCCATTTATTGAGCTTTACCACATGCAAGAACTATACTCAGCCATGGAAATACAGGCTAATGATCCTTTCTCTCAAGAAGCTCATGAAGTAGGTGACACATTATAGAAAAGTAAAAGAGCAGCCAGAGTAGAAAGGTAAGCAGAGGTTCTAGTCAGAAATGAACAAGAGGCAGCCGGTTGGAGAGGACTATGAAGGCTTTCCAGAAGACAGGAAGCTTCGAACAAATCCTAAAGGAGTTGGGGAAAAGAAAGGCTGCAGTAGATGCCCAGGGATGTAGGAAACATTTCCTAAGAAATTGTGAAAAACGTGCCTTGATTGTTTGGTAATATTTGTATTAAAATCAAGCACAGAGTACTTCTGGTCTGCAAAACATCGAATGTGCCATTAGGTTTTTTTCTTTTTTGGAGAGGTTTTCACTATAGGGCACATGTGCACGCCAGACAGAGAAAGACATAGAGACAGAAAGCAAGAAATCACCCCCCAGAGGGGATGGTCATGCCGCAATCCCTTCTCCTCCATTCTCCTCTTGGGATCTTGGGCACACATGCACACGCACCCGGCGTGGGTTTTAAGCCACCGGGTCTGGGACGCGAACCGCAGTTGACTACGTGGGAGTCCAGCGACATAGCCATTACGCTAACTGCTGGTTCCCAATGTGCCATTAGGTAATAAGGATATAGTTAATCCATGTTAGTCTAACAATTCTATATAATATGCTCACTTCAGTCATATCTCTGCTGCAAATTTCTAGCATGAATTTATTCTAATGAAACTAGGAACCAAAAAGAAAATATGAAAGAAAAGGATGATAGCCTATGGAAATAGGGAGGCATGCCATTCAACATTTGGATGCAGTGAGGAGACTGATGGCACGTGAACACAGAGCTGTGCCCTTTTGAACAGTTCTTCAAGCATCGTACTTCTTTGTTAGAGGACAAAAATGAAATAAAAGGTGTCTAGCCAAAGTGAGACAAATACCATTTCAAAATACAGAGCAATCCATCAGATGGTATTGTTCTGTGTTCAGAGACATC